GCAGCACCAGTACGTAAGTTTATGTAAGAGAAGAAGAAAAAGAGAGGACAACAGTATCCTTCTACTTTTTTTTTTTTTTTTTTTTTCCTTCTTTTCTTTCTCTCCCCGAAAAAGAGGGCCAGGTATACGTAATAAAATGAAAAAATAAAGCAAAAGCGCGCAGAAGAGAAGCGAAAACGCGAAGGACGACAATGCGTGTGCATGTTACGTACACGCGGTGGTGCAGAGGTGCTTGTTGGTCGATGTGTTGGGAGCGAGCGAAAGGTGAGGGGGCGAGTGGTAATAGTATATATATACACATATACATAACATGTGTACTTTTTGGTCCGTGCCATTTTATGAGGCGTGCACGTGGCACACTTTGGTAGAAAACGAAATTCGAAAGGAGAGAGGAAAGGACTAAAGAGCGAGCGAGTACTTATATTTTTTTGCCAACGAAAGGAGGGAAGGCAGATAAGGCAAAGAACGATGAGCGAGGAAGAAAGAAGAAGGAGGAAACTGCCGCCGTGCGAGTGAGCAAGCGTCCGTCTATTTGTCTGTCGGTCGTCCGGTCCGGTGAGCGTTTTACAAGTCGAGGAGTAAGGAACGTATACTATACACACGTGTGTACACGAGCGATTCCACTAAACGAATGGGCTCTTCCGGAAAACCTTCTTTTTTTTTCTTTTCTTTTTTTGTGGAGAAATTTAGGAAATTGGGAGAAATTACAGGAGTTTTAATTAATTTTGTAATCAACTTCGAAGACTAATGAGTACGTTATTGCCTCGTACTGTCGATACAGAGTGTGGACTATATGAAAGAAAATAATTTCACGCCACACTTGGGTTGTTATCGCATTATCGTGCACTCAAAACGCTCCAAAGATTCCATCACAACTGATGGTCATTTTTCCACGGAAATGCATATATAAATCTATAAGTATGTACCTCCAAGGTATGTATATACACACACACACACATACGGTGCCGGCTGCTCCGACTTCTCTCTTCATCTATACGCGTATACATATATGTTGTGCAAGAAGAGCGCGCGCGTTTTCAAGCCCGAAAGCAGCTGCTGTGTTCTCCCGATGTAGGGTACAACGTACAACTGTACAAAAACACACACACGCCCTTACGGGCGCGCTTAAGTATAACCGGTGCAGCCAGCCATCGGGAGGACCTGGACGTTTGCCGCCTGCTGCATATATGGTGTATTAAGCACGTACAGCTCTTTCTCATGCGAGCGATCACGTTCCGACGATGCTCTTTCTCTCTTTCCCCGATGGAAAGCTCTAGCCGGCTTTTTGACCGCTGATGTCCGGGGCTCATGCCCATGCGGACGATAAGATTGTATTATGATAACAAGTATACGCCTTGGGATGGGTGTGTTATTGCGCGCAGTTAGATAATTACGTTGGAGGTATTTTTGGCTTTATTCGTGCGTTTTTGCGCAAATTTCCACCGTACGGATATGATTCGTTTGAACAATGTTTTCAAAGCAAAACGAGAGAAAGTTCCAAAACTCGATGGCGATGAAGACAAATGTCGCGTATAAATTTTCCGCAGGCCACCCCGTGCGCACCCTTGAAGCGTTTTTCCAAAATTACCGATGTAAATATAATCGAGGGAGAGAGATATGGCACACGCGCGCGTCCATCTATAAATCAAGCCAGCAACATTTTAACGTCAAACGCACCTAAATACGTGTATAATGTACATGGCAGGAGTCGAGCGAGAGACATCTTTCTCATGTCTCAGACACGGAGCAACCCCATGCCATCACTGTAAAACGTTATACCCTGGCCCTCTCTTTACTTCCCTTCCTCCCGCGCGTACAACACCTCGTTTTCTCCCTTCCTTCCTTCCTTCAAGCAAACCCTTATCCTCGCACACACACACACCCGACACATCGTTCAAAAACAACGTTCGCAAGAGGGGTTAAGGGGGGGGGGCAACAGACGCACCAAGTCGTCGTCGACGTCGTTACAGAGATATCAGGAAAGCCGAGTTGAGAGAGATATTGGAATCGGACATAGAGCGCCAACCCTGCATGGTTACCTATACACACTCGTTGTAGTTAGTGTATTGTAATATGGCAACAGTTTTAGCAGCTGTTAGAACTCGAGCATGTGTTAGTGCCTCCTTACTTACATGTTCACTTTACATATATATATGCCTATATAACAGGAAGCGGTGCATGTATTATATAGCGAGAACAAAAAATTAGTCGACAAATTCAAATATCCAGTGTATTTTTTAATACTTACTAATGTGCCGATCGAGTGTCACAATCGGTAATTAAGCTCTCGGTTCACACCGTATGAATTGTTGGGAGCTGTTTCCCGGGCGTCATTGTAGACTATTTTGTCGGTGTAACTGTATTTGAGGTGGTGACTCGTGCATTAGATTACGTTTTTACGAAAATATGCGCAAGACGTTTGTTGTTCGAGGAAACGAACTTTTCATAGAACCTATACTATCTAAGTTATTTACGACGGTAGGGAGAGGTTTCTTTTACTGAATGGGCGATATTTTCGAGGTGCGTAGCAGCTATATATTTTTACTCTAGAGTCTCGTGTTTTAAACTTGACGAAATAAGGAGAAAAAAAATCCATCCAGGTTATATATGAGCAGCCCTCGGCAAAAAGGACTATTGATATTAAATTTATTAAATAATTGTTATATTAAATTGAATAATGTAATTTACGTAGGAAAAAAATAATTAAACAACATGTTGTAACCTTTTTTAAATAACTAAAAAATTACCAAGCACTCATTAAAAATAACTTACGCCAATCTGTAAAAATAACGTACTATTCATGTAACAGTAGAGGTATAAACAATAAATGAATAAAAGATATCCACGAAAATAACGCACAGAACCTAATAAAATAAAAGTCGAGTAATAACAGGTGCAAAGGCTGAAATGCATGAATAATGCACAAGTGCACCACACAACGCAATTTAAAATTCATACGGCAAATAAAATATGCAAGATGCAAGATTCGAAAAGACCCTATATCACACATTACACACCTACCTACTAATTAAATAGTTTTACCCTTGTTACATGTGTTATTCATTTCTTGTGTTTAAACAAAAAAAGAAAAGTCTCAACAAATAATTGCACTTTTAAACACAAAACAAACTACAACAGTGCGACTCCGAAAAGTAAAAAGCCAACAAGAACCATCCAGAGTTTGAGGTTAAACTCTCGACACACAAACACGCCATACTACCTCTATCCCGCAACGTTTGTTTACTTTGCATCAGGTAACGTATGTTCCCTCCGCACGTTTTGCTCCAAAATCAAACTCGATATTCGATCAGCCGCCAAAGCAAACCCTCGAACTCCACTACAAAAAAACTTGCACGAAAATCACACTTGATGCGATAAAAAACGGGCAAAGCACATTTGTACAATATTTGATAAAATACACACATGCGTCAGAGCACTACATGAGAGTGGATGGGTAAGTACTAGATACCTACGTAAACTCGGAGCTCGAAAAACTGCAGGAAATCAATAACGCGCGCACGAGCTGGCCAAGTAGGTATCAGCGAACGGACTAGCTGCCATCCGCTGGCGTCACACACATAGCCGCCCGTCACGGCGACGACGATGAATACGGGGAAAAAAAGGGGGCAAGCCAGTAAGTAAGTAGCACCAGACAGGAGCGTATAATATGAACGAAAATTTCATCCGTCTTGGATATTATAACAATCCTCTACTCGGCGAAGCTTTTCGTCGTCCTCTGACCTACCTCCCTAACCTCAAAAAATAACGTTTCTTATCTCTCATTATTGTTAAGTGTACGTATACATTCATTCTTGCTCTTTCTTGCGCAAGACCATAATATACATTATACGGAGAATACACGTTCACAAGGTACCAACGTATACGCTGCTCTCCGCAAAAAAAAGAAATATTTCTGTGCTACTGCACCAAACCATACTTTCATATGCAAGTACATACATGTAAAAATACATGTATTTTACATATGAGGCGTGTTGCAGTAGCACTGAGGGATTACGTCGGTACTTATGAAAAAGAAAGGCGCGCCTAGGCGTTCAAAGACGGAGCCAAAGTCGTCTCTGCGCTGATAAGTACCCACAGCGGTTGGTTAACGGTGCAATTACGGCCGGTCGATCGACTCTGACAACGATGACGACGATAGTGAGGCTGGTCTGGGCTGGTGCTGGTGGTAACTGGTTGCTCCGAACTCTTTTCTCTCACTCTCTCTCTCTCTCTCTCTCTCTCACGCGTGCACGTAAAATATACACACTATACACAGTACACACAGAAGCTAGGGCGTCTGTCGTCTCTCTCGCTCTCGTGTACGGTGTCTAATGTGTATATACATACTAACATGTATATGTGGTGGCATACGTAGTACTGCTGCTGCCATACTATAGCAGAAGTTGTGTACGCCCAACAACAGAATAAGTACAGAGCATACGATGAAAGGTTTTTAAAAAAAAGGGCTTCCTCCAAGCGACGACGTGCCTGTACACATAATCATCGTCGTCGTTGTCAGCCGTCAGCCATTTTGCTGGGGGGCTAACCGCAAACGCACCGATGAGCGACAGAGACGGAAGCCAAAGACGGAGAGCAGTCATGAACGCGAGAGGAGAAAAGAGAGGCGGAGGGCGGAGGAGAGAAAGGCTCTCTGCTCCGTATTACCTATACTCTCCCGGGTGGGCAACACACTTGACGCCTATATACTGATGATATTGCGCCCGTCCACCCGTGGACGATGTCGAGGAGTTCGTTAAATGATCAACAACTCGAATGCGTGAGTTTATGGGGACATCAATGGTAATGAGCCCTGGTGTGGGCACGAGAGGAAGCACGCCCGTTGCGGCCCGTCGGATCGCGCGATCCGTCGGGGCGCTGCTCGCCGACGGACAGTGGCTGCGACCGACTCCTTTTTCTCACTTTTCAACTTCCTCTCGCGCGCTTATCCACGCCATCTCGCTATTGTTTTATTTATTTATTTTTTGTTGTTGCTATTTTACCTGAATGCGATATTCGCTGGTTGGCCTTGTACCTCGCCATCCGTCGCTCCCAGAGGCAGCTGGTGTCGTGCACACACTTGGTCCTACTATACCGCAGCAACACACTCGCGCCTCGCCGTCGTCGTCATCGGTCAGCCACTATAGGCGCCTCCAAAACTTTCTTGTTGTATGAAATCCTTCAACACGCACGACACGACGGCAGCGATGACTGTAATGTCGGGAGGGACGGGCGGGCGGGCGGTTGGGCACCGACGGGGAACGAAAAATGTACGTTGTTACTTATACGGCGACGGTAATCTTCCAGGGGGTTTGCTACACACTCGTGCGATAACTCCGCCGAGATATATACACCCCGAAAAATGTAGACATTAGCGGTTAACACACAAAACACACTTACACGGACGTGCTTCTCGTTGTTGCGGGCCGATGTAACAAGAGAGCCCCGAGAGAGTTGTACGCTGTACGTTGTACGTATACCTACAACAGAGGCAGACACACCGACATGGGCTATATGCTCCTGCTGCTGCTGTACTTGTTATGTACGTAAAACGTACATATATCGTATACCCTTCCTACTCCGACATACAAACACGTATTCACGACACACGGCTGCACCGCGCGCTTCTCTCTTTTACCTACCTATATATAATAAATATAGGTTATACACTTTGGGGCTCCGGGTTTTGGTCGAAAGAGGAGGAGAAGAGAGGGAAAGAACGAGAATAAGCTAACGCTAACGCTACGGCGTATGGTATAGTATATGGGCTATATGGGTCGAAGCAGCGGCCGCGAGAAATTTTATTAGTGGCGCGCATGCACGCATACGCATCTACAATCACTCATACATTTTATACTAGACATTGTGGATATTGTGGATGCGTATATGTATATGTGTGTGTTGTACACTACTCAGGTGACTCAGGCTCAGGCACTTACCCAGATGCTTAGGTATCACTTATTGCACCAACGACACCAACCAGCATTCCTGCCCGGCTGCCAGTGCAACGGGCGATTTGGAATGTTTGAAAAATTTTTTTAGCATAACACTACAAATAAAATCATGAAATAGGTATATAGAAACTCAGTATCACATCTCCTGATGTATTTGCTTTTATGGTCTTTACTTGATACGAACGGAAAGTAACTGACTAGCTAACATGTATATATGTAATTCTTTCTCTTTATACTTATTTTAACATTATTAATTCTAGCCGCAAGGCAGCTGTGCAGGCTCGTTCGGTTGCAGTAAATCAGCACATCAGCAGGGTTCTTATTCCTAACCAATCCTAAACTTTTTTTGCTTTTCCCCCGGGTTTGTGAAAAAAAGGAAAAGTACTAGCTCACTATTTACTGACATAATGACTTCAGCATTTCAGCAATTAAACTGAAAATCATTAAATCATCAACGGAAACAACCTTGCGATAAAATGATTACTTGGTTACTTGGATCACAGGAACGGGGAGCACGAACACAAGGAACGCTAGTGTGGTAGGACTGCAAAAATGCACTTGCCTAGTGACAGCACTGATAGCCCAGTGTCACTACCCAGCTAACACATTTTCTTAAGATTTTTTGTAGAAGTCTTGTAGAGTTCTAATGTCCATCTGAAAGACATCTTTGGGAAGTTTTTGGGATAAAATCCCTTGAAGATATCTTCCAAAAAAAAAAAAAAATAAATTTAAACTTGCCGCAAACAGTACAGATAACGTCAATTTCTCATTTTTTTGTCTATTCAATTAGTTGCGGCTGGTTTATAATTGATTACAAGGCTGTGCTGTGAGTATGGTAATAATTATTTGGATCAGCGCCATCTAGCGGTCTTCATATTTTCGCAATTCCAAGCTTTACGGCTTGGAGCCATTTTATCAATTATAAACCAGCCGCAACTAATCTCGTAGATAAAAAATAAAAAGTTAACGTTGTTTGTGCTATATGCGGCAAGTTTACAATGTATCTTTTATCCGAAAATCTACCTCCAAAAGTATAAACATGAAGGAGGTCGAGCACCAGAATGAAATAGGAGTTTCCGGATTTCCACGAAACAAAGAAAATTGTTTCATGTCTGGCCAGTTGCGGCTGGTTTAAATTTTTGTGCACAAAGTCGATGACCCTCGGGCCGCAGCTCTTGGTCTACAACGGCTCTAAGTACGGCGCGTAGCGGCACTATACTTAAGTAGCGGCTCACCTCGAATCTCGAATTGAAGAGTAAAGTAGCAGAAGTTTCTCATGTTTAATTTATTTTTATTTCAAAAAGTTAGAAGTGCGTTATGGTTGTTGAAGTTTTCTTATTTCATTAAAAGATATCTAGGGACCATGAAAACGCTTACGAAATCAATATACATCATGTGGTGTGTTAAAAAAAAAAGGAGTGAAGAGATAGTGATTATAATAAACTGAAAAGTGAAAAGAAAGTTGATTTTTTGTAGTATTTCGAGAGGAAAAGTGTTTCAAAGAAATAGTAAGTAACTGGTGATACTTAGAATTAATGGAGAGTATATTGACTTAATTGTTTACATTCTATTGAGTTTATGTATTCGGTATTACTAGTCAAGTCCTATGTATTTTGGCATGAATAGAGTTACTTAAAAATCATGAATAAAGAATAAAGGAAATGTATCATTTGATTGGATGAATTAAAAAAGATATTTTTAAGAAACTTGTTATCAATGATGGCAGGATACATGTTAAATTTAAATATATCTTTATATTTATTTAAACAAATTCATTTTTATTTGACAAATATCTAATGTTTATGATAAAAACTTGTCTCGCACAATTTAGTATATAATTGTTTGCCCCAGGGAAAAATTAATATTATCTGTCTCCATGATATATTGACAGTTATACTGCTGTTTTGGTATGGAACTGTAACAGCCAAACCTTGATCCTTGACTTGAACATTATTATTCCCAGCAGTAGTACTTTTGGACACTTTACCACTCAAAGTTAAATCAAAATGCTTATCTTTCTCGGCATTGAAGTCTATAATGTAGTTGATTTTATGCGATGGGCTTTTTATTAAGAATATTTGCGGTTTTGAGGAGAGCGCCGTCAAATCTTTAATTAGGTCCGCAAGAGTTATATTGTTTTGCGGTAATTTCAAAGTCATCAGCCCTTGTTCTTGACCACTTATTACCAAAACTTTAACATCATTACCGGTAATTTGATGTTGCACAATTGTAAGTTCAGGATCATAAATCCTTTGGCACGTCAAGTCTGTTGTATTTACCACCGACTTATCATTCATCCTGCATATGTTGCAGCTGCTGCTGTTACTGGACCACCTGTTAATTTTTTTAAATGTTTATCAAATACTAAAAATTTAATCTTTTAAGGCTTACTTGCTCTTTCTTCCTGCAAATTTGTTTTGGCTATATAACTGACTTAATGTATGTCTATACGCTTAAAGGTACAAGGGTGCAACTGTCCAATTACAGCGAGGACTTTGATGCAAATAACTGATGGGAACTTGGTACGTTTGTTTTATAATAAGCTGCAAAGTTCAATTATAATGGGTCAAGCCTGTGAACAAAGACAACTGGGATGAACACGAAAAATTTAGTATTGCATGCCAACTACAAAGAAATGTGTATCCTCTCGCCCTGTAAGATGATGATGATGCACCACATGGAGTAAAGTGAGGCTCAGAGAAACATGGTGTGTGCTTGTATGTTTTAGTGTTCGTGCGCAGCCTACGACACCAGCCAATCAAAAAATTGTAAGTAAAGACCAGCCTTTGTTACCACACCAGATTTCAGCCAATGAGCTCTTCGGTACCAAAACTTGTTCCGGTCTGTACACGAAAAACGAAAATTGGTGCCCCGTACGAGCACGCTGTCTTGTGTATTCGTGTTGTGGTCCTATTTACTTTCATACAGTTGGCAATACTTAAGGACGATTAAATTTTCTTTACGCACTAGTGCGTGATTAGGAGTTTGAATTTTTTGAATCGAAACTAAATCTAATTAAACAGATGACATCAGGGTAGATTAACGATGAGCACCAATACTACGATTTTTCTATAATGTATTTTGTCACAAACATATTTCAAATAATTACAAGTAGTATTACGTAAGTATTTTACGTTACGACGATAAAAATATTAACAATCTCTCGCTCGCACTCGAAGTCCGAACAATACGTACTATATTGTATATGTATATAAAAAAATACGAACATATTTTTGCACACAACGCGTGTATACAACATGTTATACGCAATGTAAATATCGCTTTCGCATAAATTAACAGAAGCATAAACTTTGGTTACGGCTCGTTTCTAAAAAAAAAAAAAAAAAAAAAAAAAACAAACATTCGCTTTTAATACGTTAATAGTATAAAAACACAATTATTTCTTGTCGCGTATACTTAAATTTACAATTAAAAAGTAGAAAAAAAAAAAAGAATCTATATATATCTTCTATAAATATCTATAAATATCTATCTTCTATGAGAATAATTATATAATTTCCTTATGTTGACCGTTATCTCAGAAAATTTACAACAAAACGTTCGAGAGCCTTCGTAGATTGAGATGGACGCAAGCGAGACTGGCGAATATCAGCGCGAGGAAGACGGGCACCGTTGAACTCGAGGAGATGGATGGCGAGGAGCCGGTCTCTTGCTTGTTCGCCTTGATGCAGACGTCGCCGCATTGCTCGTCCTCGCACAGGTCGCACAGCGTCGTCATCTTTGGCTCGTAGAACACCCTCGCTCGTCTCGCTAAACGTCATCGTCACGTGTTACCGATTTTTTCTTTCTTTCGAGCGCATGCAACGCCCACCGATAAAGCATATTATGTGCAACTTACACGAGTCGTAGTAGTCGTATATCGAAACGGGAACTGGCTTCTGTTTGGCCACCTTGTGCGTCCTGTAGGCCGATACCGTGGGACAATATTCCTTGTCGTGAACCATCTGAACGAAAACAATTCATGGAATGCATCAATATATATATATAT